AGGAAGCGCAGGATCCACAGATGCGACTATGACGGATGCAACAAGGTGTACACTAAGAGCTCTCACTTGAAAGCGCACAGAAGAACACACACAGGTATCAGAACTACAAGGCGCGCGCACTCTTCTCTTAAGAAACAGGGAGATGGAATGTTAGGGACAAACAGTCGAACTTTCAAAGGTGATTATAAGGACACGGTCCAGGCACCTTGAAAGGGAGCAGAGCTGTCTACAGATCTGTCTGCTGGTCGTGAAAAACGCATTTTTTTGGGTCAAGATTTATTTTTGTAATGAGTTAGAATGGATTCAAGGCCCCCCCCCATCCAGTCATGTGGAGTTCTGTACTCTGTGTTGCGGGAGGAGAGAGGGAGGGTTGGAAAGGCTGCTGGAACGGAGGAAAAGTGCTCTCAGCCATGGGCCCGCTTCATCAAGGAGGCGGCCTTCGTGTGGACCATCATTTAGTAAATGTGGTACATTATCAAATTCACAGTGGCAAAAAAAAAAGAGAAAACCCCACAGTTCTTTACGCAGAACAAATACAGAAAAGTAAAGATATTTGGGTGATTCGTGTCTTCTAAAACGGAGGGAACTTCTGTGCTCTTGCCTGTCCTGTTTGTTCTGGGGTATTTATTCTGCCCAGGATTGAATACAGAGCATGCAGCCAGATCTTCCAAAAATGATGATACAGGTGAAGAAAACATAAAACTGTTCCATTTGCCCTTGAACATTTCATGAGCAAGATAGCTTCGGGAACCCGTACAGAAATGTTGTCCACAGCCTGATTCATCAGTCAGTATGGGTGATCCTTGTTGACAGCAGGCCTCATCTGACCTAACCTCAAACCCTTCGATGTGAAATTCTAGTACAACGGCAGTTGTTCCCTGGGCCCATCTTCCTTCAGTCAGAATGTCATTTGTTTGTTTGTTTGTTTTTGAGCCTTATGAGTCATTCGTATTAGGAATGTTTACAACAAGGAAAATCTGGGATTTGGAAGAGAAATGGGAAGGAAAGTGGTGGTGTGGAGTGTCAAGTTTCTCAGTGACTCGGGGAGAGGGAAAGTCAGCTTGCGGACAACTGAGTTCTTGGGCTTGGTCACAGTGTTCTTACAGAGGGAACTGAGGAGGGGGGCCTTGTGTTTAGAGGAATGTCCAGTCTGAGATGCCAAGGAAACCAGTAAAAGCATCCCCAGGGCATTAATGCGACCTGAGAGGTGGATGTTACCAACTTCCAGCCCAAGATTACAAGGACATTGACTATTTGAATAACAATTTGGATGTAGGAAAAATACCTCAGCATTTATATTCTCTGAAGCAGAGCAGATAAGACAATTCTGAAGAGCTCCTCGAAATGTCAATCCTTAAAATTTCTAGAGAACAAGGGATAGTAAGTGGGAATTGATTTGTGAGGCCCATTTGCCCACGATGACTCATAAAAACATGTAAGATTACCACTAACAGCCTTTTTATTTGTAAGGGCCTTCATGCTGGCTCCTCCCTATGATTTCCCCCCAAGGGTCTCCTGTTCCTCACCTGCCAGCTACCATTATCCCACAGCAGTGGGGTGGAGAGACCTGGCTTCTGACAGGCTGGGGAGGAATTACTGTATTTTTAGTATGTCTCAATTAGAGCATTATACTTAGGCATAATTGCTGTTGACTAAAAGAAAAGATAAGATGCTGAAATCCCTGCCAGTGTCTGTCACACTTCTTATTTTTAGGAAACTGTTAAAATAATAAGGAAATCCCACAAACTTTCAATTTGGACTCCTCTTTAAGTGGAAAGCACTGCGTATAACTCACCTCAGTAGCTCGAAGACTTGGAGATAAATACAGATCACAAGTTGTTTCTTAAGTGATTCATCCCTACTATTGAGGGTGAAACCAAAATTATTTGCTAGCTCCTCAGGATGGATTTTAGTGGCTTTATGCTTTAAGAACTCTTAAAGCAGTGGGGGGGCTGCGGCCAGAGTGGCCGGAGTGGCAGAGTTCCAGTTAAATATTAAGAGAATTAAGCCACTTGTTTTCTTTTTTGTCCTTCTGTGGTTTCTATGGCACTCTTGGTTTTTGGGGAGAACAAACAAACGGACATACCTTAGAAATAATATTTGCCCAGAGCTGTAGCTCAAAAATCTTAACTGCAAAATTTTTACTAATGAATAGCCTTTCGCCCTCAGGAAAAATATAAGCTCTTCCGTTTTTCCTTTTTGCAGGAGAAAAACCCTACAAATGTACATGGGAAGGATGCACATGGAAGTTTGCTCGGTCTGATGAACTGACAAGACATTTCCGAAAACATACTGGAATCAAACCTTTCCAGTGTCCAGACTGTGACCGCAGCTTCTCCCGCTCTGACCACCTTGCCCTCCATAGGAAACGCCACATGCTAGTTTGAATGGCTCCGTCCCCCGCCTCAGCGTGGTTCCCCACTCTCCCGGCTCTCTCTCTGTCCTCCTTCCCATGATCTAACTCATTTTTTACATGTACATTTTAATTTGGATTCAGCTGGTCTGAATCTCTGAATTTATATCATTCAAACTTCCATATGGTCAGTAGTAGATGTTCTCTAATCCTCCTCTCCTTACCACGGGTCAGACCTAAAGAATGTGAACACTTTTTTTTTTTTTTTTTTTTTCCGGGGATGCTAAGCAAACCCTTCTTACAGATACACTTAATGTAACAAGAACAAGGAACACATAAACTTAAAATAACCAATTGTCGGTTTCTCCATGTATTTCTCAAAAGAATGTCAAAGTAAATGTATTAGAAATACAGTATCCAGCCTGCAAGTCCTTGCCAGGGACGTTCATACCTCTGTGCCCTGGGATCGTATTTTGTGCTTGCCAGCAAGAAGGGTGGACCCTCTCCCAAGCTAGGTAGACATGGAGCGAGATTTCAGGTAGGACCGTCCATCCACTCTTCTTCCCTTCCATTGCCCTTCACAAATCCTGCTTGTCAACTCGGATTTATCACGTCCTCTAAATTAAGTCCTCGATACTCCTTTGGGCCTGCAGCTAATAAGGAGGTCTTTGCCACCCCTGGAGCTGAGCCAGAGCTGCTGATTTAGGCGGGTGATGTCTGTCAGTGAAGGGCCGAATGCTCTCCTTGCGCAGCACAGAGTCAGAACAAAGGGGCATGGCGCAGGGGAGAAGTGTGGGGGGGAGGGAAGAAGTCGGCCCTTCCTCCTAGGCGAGGGCTCTCCGGTGAGGTTTCATCATAGGGTTCGCTGCGCAAGGCATCCCCAGAGCTTCAGTCTCTATGCTCAACTGTGCAGAAGCATACAGCAAAGCCGAAAATGGATGGAGTTATCCCTGCCCCTGTCACCATTCCTCCAATGTCCTTAACGTGGGTCATCGAGCATTGACTGTCGGGACATCACAACAATATTTTGCCCAGTAATGGTAAAAAAAAAAAAAAAAAAAATCTTTTGGGTAAGAATATGGGTGGCCTTTTACCCAACCTACTTAACAGCTTTTTTTCTTTGCAAACAGAGAAACGTTGAGGGGTAATTGTATTCCCATATCAAATTACTCATACAGCTTTTATACAGAAACTCTTCTGTGTGAACCATAGGGTGCCAAGTGGGCTGTCATTTGTGTTTGTGATGCATACCGTAAGTATCTGCTAATGCTTTAGTGGATGCATTCAATGTCAGACCTGAGTGACAGGATTTGTAAATATAACTAGTTGTGAAGCACAGATACCTTCATTCGGGGGACAGATTTCTGAAAAAAACAAAACAAAACAAAAACAAAAAAAACAGAAAACCACAGTTCAGGGATTCATATCTTTATAGAGTTCCAGAATTCCCCAACATTTACTGTTTTAAAGAGTTGGAAATTGATCACTATCAAGTATCCCCTCAGAAGAAGCTGAAAATGACTCGTGTTTATGTTAAAGATAAATAGCGCCATTATTCGGGGGAAGTTTTGTGTTTAGTTTTTGTTTTTCAAAAGCTGGCTTTTGAGCACCATAGTCTAAATGCCAATAAAAATAATTCATGCATAGAAATGTCATTGGTTCTAAATTTGAAGAAAGTGGGTGACGGTGGTCAAATGTGGGTGCATATAACCAAATGCGCCTTCATCCCTCGATAAAGGACGGAAGAGAAGAGAGAAGAATGGAATCCTGAAGATTCATCCCAGCCGCAACTCAGGATCCAACACAACCTTAACTGGGAGGAATACATTGTTCAATTGTTTTTAAAACATCAGTGAATGTGTGATTGTGGAGGCCTGCAAATCGTGTGGGGAGCTTACTTTGATGGCGCTATGTTAATAAAAGTTAGTTGTAGGGACTGTGCACCTAAGAGATCCCACTCATCAGCCCTCTGAACCAGCTGAAAGGAAATGTAGTTGAGAAATGCAAAGTCATTTTTTACCTTCTTGGCACTTGGTTTCGATTTTCTTTCTTTTTTTTTTTTTTGTGTAAGCACTGCAAAATTTGTTTAGAATATTAAAACCTCCTAATTGGGCTTTTTTTGTCTGTGTTTTTGCAACTATGACATGAATTGAGGGATAAAAATGGCTCTTGGGAAAGTAGGTATTGTCTGTACTGTAAATGCTTAGTCACATTCATGCCAAAGTGTTTATTTCTAGAAGTGGTTCTTTTGCAACACACTGAAGAATCAAGTTGGGATGTAAGGAACTTTTTTGTTTTAATGGAGATAACCAGTATGTGTGTGTTCCAACCCATAGAGAAGGTAGGGGAAAAAGGCAAGAAAGGGTAGACTGATCATCTTTGAATAATTAGCTTTGAGTGTGAGTCCAGCTGATAGAAAGCTTCGTAGGTTCTCATGAAATTTGAGGTGTTTGTCACGGCATATTTAAATTTTGTTCAAAAGAGCAAGCAAGACCCTGCAAAGAGTATTCCATTACTATTCAGCTTGCCTAGGTTATGTTAACCATTCATTAACAAAGATCCATTTTAACTCGGAAAGAAAGGCAACCCAGAGAGGCCTTTCTCTGTTCCCATTGCTGGCCTATATACTTTAGTTGACTGATTGGCTCTTGACCAAATTTTCCTTTTTTATATATATTTGTATTTTACTATGATAGTTGAGAAATTTAGTCTCTTAGACATTTTTAGCTGTTATTGTGGAAGACCTCAAATACAAGATAGATGCCCTTGAACATGTGGTTTTAATGATGTGCCATGTTACTATCAATGGTGGTTTTAAATTGCCATATTTTACATTGATGAGAATGATTTGTAAACATGAAGTTAGTGTTGTATAAATTCTGTTATAGAGTTTCTTCTGATTATTGTCCAAGTGTCATCTGGGGGAAGTCAGAAAAATTAAGGCTGAATGCATCATATTTTAGAGTTCTGAAATGTGAATTTACATCATAAATGGGCATTAACATTCTAAATCATCTGGTATGGAGAATGTTAGCAGCATAGCTATGTTCAACCAAGGAAATGCTAACTACACGGAAGTTTGAAGAGCCTTGGAACAGATTTATAGGGGAACTATAGATGTATATTTTATTAAACACCCATCTGCACTATCAGTGTTGCACTAATGTGGAATTTGAAAGACTTTATTGCTGATACTGTATATCTATCTGCACGTCATTCCTGATTAGATTGTTTTAAAGACAATCTCAAAGATCTAAGGTTTGAAAATAATTTGGTTTGAAAATATACAGTCATCTTGAAGGAATTGCTGTTATACGTGAAGTTGCTCAGAGTTGTCTTTATTCTCTTCTCGGTCGAAGTTAACAATTTCTAAATGATCGCAAATTCACTTAATACATTTACAAAGCCATTTTACATGCATTAAACGAGGGCTACAACAATATTACGTTTTACAAATACTAGCACTTTTTTTTTTTTTTTTTGCTGTTATGTACTTAGTGTTAGAGGGTCAAAATAATCTTTCTGCTTAGCATCTCTTAAACCATACCTGCAAGTATAGCAGGATTATTACATTTACAGTACTTTAATACTTGTATAAACTATGCAGAAATTTTTAATAAAGTGTAATATATTTTATAAGCTAATAAGACTGAATGGGTAAAGGTTTTTAGCATGCATTAGTATACTTGCAAATACTGAAACATTTTGGTAATCTTTCTTACTAAAGATGTGAATGTTTAATGTACCTTCTCTGTTTCTACTCTGTAGTCCAATGGGAATTCAGTAATGACATTTTGTCATGTCAAACTGTGAACATAAATTTGTACTGTACAGTCCTCATATTCTATATACAGTATGCAATATATGTATTATATACTTGTTAATAAAACCATCAGAATATTAAGTGTGATCATGTGATTACTATATATGCAGTGATCACTAGGAGCAAAACTTAGCAATGTAACATGTAAGAGACAGTACTTAGAAATTGCGAAGTGAATCACTGATAGGCAATTGTTGATGGAGGGAAAGAAAAATAAACTGGCAGATGCACGAAATGAGTTAACTTAGCCTTGAAGTTATGTCCCTGGGTTTTGGATAACAGCAGCCGGAAGTCTTCTAAGCCACAAACCACAGACTTGTAGACAACCCACCCTGAATCCACACACTTAACCTAAGTGAGTTCTTGGGATATTTTTTAGGACACAGACCTTCTGTCCAAAAAGGATTTCCAGTGCCTTGTATTAAAAGACACAATGTCTAATATATATATATTTTTTTAAGTTTTTAAATAAGAGATTAGGATTCATAGCTTGGGGAGTGGGGAATCAGAAACAGGACAGCAACTGCATTAAATAATTCTGGATAAACTTTGAAGCCTGCAGTAAACCATGTCCATGGACATTGCTATGTCCTCAGTATCCTAGGAACAACAAATAGTTTCTGATGGGGACTTAAGAGTTCTTGTTTAAAGCAAAATGTAACATCTCTCTACCCTCCCCCTAAATGTAATTGAAACTAAGATACTAACTTGTTAGATCTCACAGCAGCTACCTTGAACCTGGATTTCATCTTAGCATAACATGAAATGCTGGCTGGCCCTTACTATATGATACCTCCACAGCTTGGAGAGGGGAAGGAGGTTGGGGAGAAGGCTGAACTCAAATTTTGAAGCACTCTCCAGGTTTCTCCAAGAAACTTCCCTGCTTTTACACTGAGGTAGTTGACTGTAAACTCAAAAGATACAGATGACTGTTACATCCCAGTGGGATGCTGGCTTGGATTAGTCTAGGTGATTGGCTATAAGCTTCCAACTATATTTTGTATATGAGAGCTGGATTCTGCCTGGGTGATCAGAATGGTGACAAATGCAAATTTTATGAGAAACCAAATTCTTAGAGGAATGGGAAGGAAGGATCTTCAGCACACACATGCATGCATGCACAAATCCGTAATCATTGCCCAGTATTTTAAGTGCTGTCAGGGTGAAGAAGAGATTAGGAGCCTTACTGGGGGCAAGTTACCAATTCCAGTGTGCCTAAAAGGAAAGAAGTGGCTCTGTTCAGGGAAGGGCAAGTTGAGATGGTAGTAAAAACACATACATAGAGATGTAGAAGTTAAACTGTTAGAGACCAGAGTGACCTGTGTGTGCACAAAACAAGGAATTGTTCTTCAAGGGTACATTCATTTTAAGATATGCAAACTGAACCTGTTACCTTTTCCTATTTGACCCAGTCATAATCATGGTGGTTGGTAATGGTTCTGTGTACATAGTGACCCCTAAATTAGAGTGATACATGCTACAAATTAGAATAAATGTATGACTTTGGCAGGTGGCAGTTCTCACTAAATCTAGACATGTTTATTGCTTTGAGTGCTTTTCTCATTATGTCCCTCGTTTTGCATTCCCTATGGGCATCCTGAGGGGTCTGGGTTAAGGATAGAAGACAGAAGCTGGATCTTTAGGTTCCTAGACCATATCTCTCACACTTCTTGACCCAGTGTATCAGTCAGGGTTCCCCAGAGAGAAAGAGAACCAGTAGAATATTATATACACAGGAAGAGATTTATTATGAGGAAATGGCTCACATGACTATAGGGGAACTACACTACAATGAGAACTATTATATGGGTAGATCACTATTGATATCACATGGATTCATTTTTGAAGGTGACATCGCTGATAATGTGAAAATTCTCAAGGATCAGGGCGCCTGGGTGGCTCAGTCGTTAAGCGTCTGCCTTCGGCTCAGGTCATGATCCCAGAGTCCTGGGATCGAGCCCCACATCAGGCTCCCTGCTCTGCGGGAAGCCTGCTTCTCCCTCTCCCACTCCCCCTGCTTGCGTTCCCTCTCTCGCTGTGTATCTCTCTCTGTCAAATAAATAAAATCTTTAAAAAAAAAAAATTTATTTATTTGTTTGAGAGAGAGAGAGAGAGTGTGGATGCATGAGCAGGGGGAGGGGTAGAGGGAGAGGGAAAGAGAAAGAATCTTAAGCAGACTCCCCATTGAGCAAGGAGCCCATCTCAGGGCTTGATCTCAAGATCCCAAGATCATGACCTGAGCCTAAATCAAGAGTCAGACATTTAACAGACTGAGCTTACCCAGGTGCCCCATCCAGCACCACTTTTGAAAAGATTATTCTTTCTTCAAATTGACTTTGTAGTTTTGTCAAAAAATCATCTAACCGTATACATATAGGTCAGTTTCTGGACTTGGTGTTTCACTATTCTATGTGTCCATCCTTTCACCAAAACCACATGATTTTGATTACAGTAGCTGAAACTGAGACTTCCTATATAAATCCCTGGATATGAGCAAATACCAAACACTTTTGGAAGCACATACTCTTAACCCATGACACAGAGAAAGCCTTACTTTGATTTACAAAACCAAACTAACGAAACACACGAGGAAACATATACCAGATGCAGGAGTCAGCTGTCCCTACAAATGGAACAACACAAGAGGTTCATGTGGTGGAATTGTCAGAAACAAACTATAAAATAAGTACATTTAAAGACATAATAGGATTAATCAAAGCCCTAAGAAAAGAATCTCTGTTTCCAGTTAAGAGATGAATAAGTGCGTTCCACTCTATTCCTCCTGCTAATTACAACAGAAGACTCTAAAACAAGACTATCATAAAGCAACTCTTGGTAGACTCTGAAGGATGAAGAGAAGATGGTAGACTAGCTAGAGAACTTGGACTTGAGGGACAACCCAGCAGCAAATTCCTCGAGGTAGTTTTCTGTTTGTTCTCCTGCCATAGAGACTGGTCTGGGAGCTAGAACACCCACAACCTGGAACCACTACCAGGTAGAGACAGGAAAAAAAAAAAGAAAAAAGAAAGATCCAAGGAAAACCTACTCTGTTTCAACAAAGAACCAAAAAGAGGATGGCTCTACAGGATGGAGCCTTTATGACCATAACTGTCCCAGTGCAGGCAAATACCATAAAAGACACAACACTGCCCCGCTGCCCCCCATGCTGCAGAGTCTGTGGGATGGAGCCCAATCACCACCCTTTACTCTGCACCGAGGGGCTCCCCTTTCCCCAGGGATTGGTGTCCTGGCAGTAGAGACAGTGGGGAGGAGCCCTGTCCACAGTGCTCACCCAGCACTAAGCAGCAAACAGGCAGCATCCCCACCCCTTTCCAACCAGAGAGCTGGGAGACGATTATGGAGAGAAGGGAGCAGAAAAAAGAGACTCATCTCTGAGTGAGCCTAGCCTTACACTGACCATAATCAACGCAGCAAAAGCTTTGAGAATTAACTACCGCGTGGAATACCCCCGAGCCTGCAGACTGGCCTCTCGGCAGTACACAGTGGGGCAGACCAGAATAGCATTGCAAAGGTTCAAAAGGCAAATTCACATTTAAACCACAGCCCACAAAAGTGGGCCAGGATGTGTGTCCTAAATCTAAATGTGTTGACTGCCTGCTAAAATAGAGGACTTAAAGAGGAACCAGAGTCTCAAAACATAACACACAGAATTTCTAAGATACAATCCAAAATTACTTGGCATAGCAAGAATCAGGAAAAATCTCATCTTTCATGAGAAAAAAAAAAAAAATCAACAGATACTTAAGCCCAAAGAGTGTTGGGATTATCTCACAAAGATTTTAAACGAACGATCATAAAAATTCTCCAAAAGCAATTATGAGTACTCTTGAAACAAATGGAACACTAGGAAATCTCAGCAAAGAAACAGAAGATATTTAAAAAAGAGAATCAAATGAAAATTTAAAAATGAAAAATACAACATCCAAAATAAAAATATTCACTGGGCGTGGTACCTGGGCAGCTAAGTCAGTTAAACGTCTGACTCTTAATCTCAGCCCTGGTGTTGATCTTGGGGTCGTGAGTTCGACTCCCGTGTTGGGCTCCACGCTGCGCCTGGAGCCTACTTAAAAAAAATTATTTTTCATTAGATGAGCTCAATAGCAGAGAACACAGAAGAGAGAGTCAGTAGGCTTCAAGATCTATCAATACAAATTATCTGAATATAGAGAAAATAAATTGGAAAAAAAAAAAGAGCAAAACCTTGGGGACCCGCGAGAATTACAAAAGATTTAACATTCATATCCCTGGAGTGCCACTGGAGAGAAGAAAGTGCAGGGCTGAAGAAATATTTGAAAAAATAATGTCTGAACCCCCCCCCACGTTTTTGAAAGACAAAACAAACAAACAAACAATAACCACCATAGCAAAAACCCATCGGATTCAAGTAGCTGACTCAATTCCCAAACAACATCTTGGGATAAACACAAAGAAATCCCCCTCAGGCCCATCATGATCAAACTGCTGAAAATGAAAGACAAAGCAAAACAGTGTAGGGGTAGACATAACATGCATGAAGCATGATATTGAATTTTCACAGTGGCAACTAGATGGATATGAAATACTAGAATTATAATGGTCTTATTTTTATAAAGACATTTATAATATTTCATGAACTTTTCCAAAAATAAAATAAAATTTCTCAGCTTCTCCTTCTGCCTCATCCTGTTTCCCTCAGTCTCATGCAGGGCAGACTCTATATCATAGGCGTTGTTCCTCATTAAACCACCTGCATGCAAATCTCTGTCTGAGAGTGTATTTCCAGGGATTCTGGCCTGGCCATGTGCCCATTGGCCTAGTGGCAAAAAGAAATATTAGCCTTCTGTCTCTTCTTTCGCACGGTAGTGTGGTGAGATAAGCAAACGGTGAGTTTGCTGATAGATATTGTTAAATGTACTCCCATATTATAGCTTAATTTAAATAGCTTTGATTTTTAAATTTCTTATATTAGATACATGTTGTGGTCTTCATTTGTATTCCTGCCCAGGTACCACAAATGTTTGGAGTGAGCCTGCTCATCCCTCTTTATTTCTGTTATATTTTCTAGTTTCTGTTATAAAGAA